CACACACACACACACACACACACACACACACACACACACACACACACTATAGTACATTGTCAAGAAGTGCAGACTAAAAAGCCAGGAAAAGAGGAAATAAGTAGAAGACAGGGATCAATAAAATGGAAAAATTTCAGGCTAATATAGACTATTCCAATTAAACATCAAAATAAGAAAGTATCTAGCTCATCCTCTAACACAAGAAGAGCAGCCTAATATTAAGTAGTAAAAGGGCCTTTAATCAAAGTAAGGAGTCTAAGTTATTTATGGGTATGGGTGTTTTGCCATGTGTATGTAGTGTACCCAGGCCCTTATTTCAGAGAGGGTGTTAGATCGCTTGGAACAAGAGTCACAGTTGTGAATTGCCATGTGGATGGTGCTGGGAATTGAACCTGGGTCCTATGGAAGAGCAGCCAGTGCTCTTAACTGCTGAGCCGTCCATCTCTCCAGCCCCTAGCTGTCTATAAATTCTTAAAACATTTTATTACCAATTTCTCAGCCTTTCTTTACATATTTGGAAAATATTATGGAAAAGAGGGAAAAACTTAAGATTTCACATAAATGAATTTCCATCTTCTTTTACAACACTTGAAGATTGGCAACAACGGCTTCGAATTCTACTTGACAACAAACAACCCCACACATGAGCTTGGGTCAGGCACTGAACTGGCCACAGTCCTTTTCTGAACTTACTTCTTGAGGTGTATGGTGCAGCTACCTTTAAGACACAGAGATGCAAACAGAGAAGGGCAGAAGATCACATTACAATGTTTACTGACCTGAATGGAGGTGAACATAAAAGTCACAGAAAAAGGGATGAAGGTTTGAACCAGGTGGAGGTAAAATGAAGGAAGAAGTTCACAGTGGGTTGTTGAGCTGTCAGAACTGACAGAAGAGGAAATGGCTGCAAGTGGGCAGCAAATGAAAACGGATGAATTAAAGATCACATTGACATTTCCAGTCTGGGTAACTAGAAAAATCACCCAGATGCAATTAGAGAACACAGGAGGGGAGGGGAGCTTCCTTTTTACATAATTACAGCAGCAACTTAGCTGGAATGAGGACAGATTAATGAGCTCTGACAGGTTAACTTCATAGGAAAAAAAAGGCCGTCTTTGAAAAACTGTAACCTTTTTTTTAAAGGTGGATGCAAATAGCTTTGCCTTGGTGTGTGTAGTGTATGACGTACAGTGTATGAAGTACACAAGACTTTACTGTTCCACATTAAAACTATCATGTATCTCTTGCCTAATGATCTGTGGCTAAAATGGCCAACACCAACTAGTTTCCTAAACAGTATCTTCAAAGAGCAATGAGTAAGTATATGGCTCATCCTTCAGAGTTTATCAAAATGCTACTTATTTCCTCATTCATTACTCTGAGCCATTTCTCAATACCCACAGCACTTCTTCAAAACAAAAACAAAAATCATGTCTTTGTTCTTTACTTTTTTTTTTTTTGGGGGGGGGGTTTCGAGGCAGGGTGTCTCTCTGTGTAGCTTTGGAGCCTATCCTGGCACTCACTCTGGAGACCAGGCTGGTCTTGAACTCACAGAGATCTGCCTGCCTCTGCCTCCCGAGTACTGGGATTAAAGATGTGCACCACCAACGCCCGGCTGTTCTTCACTTTTAAAGTATTTCTTGGGTCTGATACCAAAAGGTCACAAGTTCTTATTATCACTGACAGAAATAAACTTCTTCCTTTTCCCAGTTAAGAAAACCAACCAAATAATATGAAATCATCAACTACATTGTAGCGGCTCTGCTGCCTGAACAATTAAGCTCAAAAGCCATTTAGTAATACCAAGTTAGACAGATACCTGAGGTAGGCTGGAGAGTAAAGTCTTGGTCCAAATGGAGTGAAGATAATGTACTTAGGGTTGAGTGACAACCTGGAGCAAGTTG